AAATTTAATTCTTAAACTTCAAAAATTTTATCCCACAAAAAGTAATTTTGGGTAAAATGATTATAAAAATATATGAAATGATGTGTACAGATAATAATGTGGCGTAAATAGATCTTGCTCATACACCATCAAAGTATTTGAATGAAAAACAGAGCATACGCCATCAAAGCATTTGAATAAAAAACAGAGCAGCAGCAACCGTAAAACCTATCAAGCAAATGGTCTGTCTGTCCTCTTAACCCTCCACAATCCTAACTCTCTCACAACTCAATTGAAAACCCAGGTCAACAATAACGACTTCTCCAGTCGATCAAATTTGATTAGTCTGCAAAAGTTTGAACAGGAAGAAGAAGGATGGTCTTAAATCTGATCTGATCGAATACCTTGCAACCCACACAGCTAGATGCGTCACTTCAGTTCAAATCTGGACAAATTTACATCCAATAAACCAAGGGAATCCTAAAGCATTGACATTTTACAAGCATGTAAAAACAGTTGAATTTCCCACATTGAAGGTTGTGGCAGAATTATTTCATAACTGACTAAAAAACAAACAAACTGAAAATACAATCTCATTATCCACTCTCCAATATTGCCAGGCAAGTTTTGCTTCGGAAGTATGAATCTCAAAGTCTAGACCAATACATCTACTACCTGGAACATAGGAGAGATTGCCGTGCCTTCTTCCACCAGGATGGTTGTGCTTGCTAGACAGAGGCATAATCCATTCCCTCATTTATAACATGGAAAATTACATTTTGTAAAAGTTGTGATACATAAGAGCCTTATTATTCAGTCCCGCGGTAGTCTGTTGCATTTGTCTGTCCACCACTCAGTGTGATCCTATAAAGATAGAACACAACTATTGCACCACTGCACAGGGCAAAGCAAATTGTCAGATAAACAAATGAACTACATGCCAATTCAGTTTAGCATGTTTTAAATCAAAGTCGTCAATGATTGTCTAGCATTTGGGATGAAATTACACGTTCTTGATATCACACATCATCCTTTTAAGCATGTAATTTAAAATATCTAGAACTAGACGTATGTGTGCCCCAATCCTTCTCAACTGCTATACATTAGAAAGAGATCTCTGCATACCACCATGCAGTCACAAAATGGCTACCACAATCCAACATTTTCAAGACGATTGTGCCAAAATATTTACCAAAAGATCTTGTGACTTATCCATGTAGATGTTATAATTGACAGCATTTTTCAACTACATTACAAGCATACACTGTATTGCCTTTGATTACAGAAAGAACTGTCAGTAACTAATTAACCTTTTGGGCAGCATTTAGATGGAGAGATGTCAAATGAATGGATGAGCTTTAAATTTGCAAATCCATGGGAGAGATAGTAATCATTCCAATGATTAAAATCAAATCTGTTCATTTCCAGTCCATGAATCCAAATACAACCTTAAGACTGTTTGGATCTTGGGTTTGTTGAGGGAAAAGAAAAAGTAGGACAATTATATCACTTTTCCCTATTCATCTTTTATTTTTCTATAGGAACCAAACAAAAAATAGATCTTGAAGACGTCTATTCATTTTCCCAATCCAACCAAACAAAAGCAAGTAAATTAGGCTGTGTTTGGTTATGTTAAATATAATTCCACCATTTCATGTTTGGATGGAGTTTTCAAAATGTGATTCCACCACACATTTCAAAATGTAATTCTCCTTCACGTTTGGCTACTCTCTCTCTCTTTTGTGTTCTCCATTCTGAAAAATCGAGAATTTTTGAATTTTGGACCTACCTGGTCATCCTCCCGAACGCTCGGCCAATTGACCGGAACAGTGTATTTTTTTTTTTCTTTTTTGGCAACTGTCAAACGTCAATTGCCACTTGTTATTTGGAGGAAAAAAAATTATATTTGTTTTTGATATTTTTTAAATATAAAAATTATTTTTTTTAAACCAAAATGACAATTTCTTTTTTATTTTTTATATTTGAATGTTAGCATCAAGAGTGAGGATTCTAAGATATTTGTGAAAGATGAAGAGATAAAGGAAAGATGGAAGAACTATTTTGAGAAATTATTAAATGAGGAACATGAAAGTACAGCTATAGGGAAATAAATAGCCAATAATACGATAAACAAAGATTAAAGGTTCTATCGCAGGATTAGGAACTTTGAAGTGGAAACACTTACAAAGATGAAATCAAATAAGGTTTTAGGACCCGATGATATCCCTATTGAAACTTGAAAATGTTTGGGTAAAAAGGGAATTGCTTGGTTGACTAGGTTATTTAGTAAAATTTTGTTGACTAGGAACATGCCAGATGAGTGGAGAAAGAGTATTTCAGTGCCAATATATAAGAATAAAAGAGATGTCCAGAATTGCAACAATTATAGAGGAATCAAGCTAATATGTCATATAATGAAAGTGTGGGAGAGGGTGATGAAACGCCAATTGCGAGATATAACAGAGGTGTTAGAGAATCAATTTGAGTTTATGCCTGACAGGTCAACAATGGAAACGATTTATCATTTAAGGAGAGTAATAGAAAAGTATAGAGAAAAGAAAAAAAAACATTCATATGGTGTTTAACGACCTTGAGAAAACATATGATAAAGTGTCCCAGAATATAATATGGTGGGTGTTAGAGAAAAAAAGGGTAACAAAAGGTTACATTGATGTGATTAGGGACATATATGAAAGGGTTGTGACCACTATTATTAAATTACCTGCTGGAGAGAGAAATGAATTTCCTATAACTATAGGGTTACACCAAGAATTTACCTTAAGTCCTTACCTTTTTACTTTAGTTATGGATGAGTTGACGAGAAATATTTAGGATGACGTGTTATGGTGTATACTTTTTGCAAACGATATTGTGCTAGTAGATGAGACTAGAGAAGGAGTTAACACAAAGTTGGAGACTTGGAGACTTGGAGAAAAGCTCTTGAATCTAGAAGATTCCGGATAAGCAGAACTAAAACAGAGTACATGGAGTGTAAATTTAATAACAGTAACAATGAGAGCAGAGGAGAAGTGAAAATTGAGAACTAAGAACTGCCTAAGAGTGAATATTTTCGTTATTTAGGGTCGATTATCACAACAGTGGGGAAGATTGATGCGAATGTGGCCCATAGGATTAAGGCGGGATGGTATAAGTGAAAAAGTGCGTCTGGAGTACTGTGTGATAAACGAATACCCACTAAACTAAAAAGTAAGTTCTATAGAACGACTATTAGACCATCGATATTGTATGAGACGAAGTGTTGGGCAAGTGACTTATCCATGTAGATGTTATAATTGACAGCATTTTTCAACTACATTACAAGCATACACTGTATTGCCTTTGATTACAGAAAGAACTGTCAGTAACTAATTAACCTTTTGGGCAGCATTTAGATGGAGAGATGTCAAATGAATGGATGAGCTTTAAATTTGCAAATCCATGGGAGAGATAGTAATCATTCCAATGATTAAAATCAAATCTGTTCATTTCCAGTCCATGAATCCAAATACAACCTTAAGACTGTTTGGATCTTGGGTTTGTTGAGGGAAAAGAAAAAGTAGGACAATTATATCACTTTTCCCTATTCATCTTTTATTTTTCTATAGGAACCAAACAAAAAATAGATCTTGAAGACGTCTATTCATTTTCCCAATCCAACCAAACAAAAGCAAGTAAATTAGGCTGTGTTTGGTTATGTTAAATATAATTCCACCATTTCATGTTTGGATGGAGTTTTCAAAATGTGATTCCACCACACATTTCAAAATGTAATTCTCCTTTTCCCTCCTCGCTCCCCCTTGGATCTAGGGTGGCGGCATAACTAGGGTTTTGAAGGTGGTGAGAAGGAATGGTGGCAAGGGTTTTTATGTGGGGAGAGAAGGGTGTGAGGTTCGGCATGGGGGCTATCAGGGTGCTGAGGCAAGGTTGCTGGTGAAGGAAGGGGGTGGCAGGGTAATGAGGGAAACGGGAGGTGGGTTTGTGAGGGAGGAGGGAGGAGGGTTGGTGGTCATTTGGGACCGAGGTGGTGGTAGTTCTCAGAGAGCATTAACAAGGGAGGGAGGGAAGCTAGGGGTGGCTGGTGAAAGGGGGTAACATTCTTTGGTGGGGTGGGGGCAAGTGAAGGCACCAAGGATCCTCTAGAGTGAAATTTCCCTAAAGTTTTCTAAAGTGCTACAGTGTATGGTTGAGATTTATTGGCAAGTCACATCAGAAAAATTGATGTGACTTGCCAGTAAATCTCAACCATACACTGTAGCACTTTAGGAAACTTTAGGAAAAAATCACTTGCTCCAAGTGAAGGAGGGGGGAGGTGCCAGTGGCAGTGACAGCTTGTGATGAAAAAGGAGGTGGGTGTACAGCGAAATTTAATTCTTAAACTTCAAAAATTTTATCCCACAAAAAGTAATTTTGGGTAAAATGATTATAAAAATATATGAAATGATGTGTACAGATAATAATGTGGCGTAAATAGATCTTGCTCATACACCATCAAAGTATTTGAATGAAAAACAGAGCATACGCCATCAAAGCATTTGAATAAAAAACAGAGCAGCAGCAACCGTAAAACCTATCAAGCAAATGGTCTGTCTGTCCTCTTAACCCTCCACAATCCTAACTCTCTCACAACTCAATTGAAAACCCAGGTCAACAATAACGACTTCTCCAGTCGATCAAATTTGATTAGTCTGCAAAAGTTTGAACAGGAAGAAGAAGGATGGTCTTAAATCTGATCTGATCGAATACCTTGCAACCCACACAGCTAGATGCGTCACTTCAGTTCAAATCTGGACAAATTTACATCCAATAAACCAAGGGAATCCTAAAGCATTGACATTTTACAAGCATGTAAAAACAGTTGAATTTCCCACATTGAAGGTTGTGGCAGAATTATTTCATAACTGACTAAAAAACAAACAAACTGAAAATACAATCTCATTATCCACTCTCCAATATTGCCAGGCAAGTTTTGCTTCGGAAGTATGAATCTCAAAGTCTAGACCAATACATCTACTACCTGGAACATAGGAGAGATTGCCGTGCCTTCTTCCACCAGGATGGTTGTGCTTGCTAGACAGAGGCATAATCCATTCCCTCATTTATAACATGGAAAATTACATTTTGTAAAAGTTGTGATACATAAGAGCCTTATTATTCAGTCCCGCGGTAGTCTGTTGCATTTGTCTGTCCACCACTCAGTGTGATCCTATAAAGATAGAACACAACTATTGCACCACTGCACAGGGCAAAGCAAATTGTCAGATAAACAAATGAACTACATGCCAATTCAGTTTAGCATGTTTTAAATCAAAGTCGTCAATGATTGTCTAGCATTTGGGATGAAATTACACGTTCTTGATATCACACATCATCCTTTTAAGCATGTAATTTAAAATATCTAGAACTAGACGTATGTGTGCCCCAATCCTTCTCAACTGCTATACATTAGAAAGAGATCTCTGCATACCACCATGCAGTCACAAAATGGCTACCACAATCCAACATTTTCAAGACGATTGTGCCAAAATATTTACCAAAAGATCTTGTGACTTATCCATGTAGATGTTATAATTGACAGCATTTTTCAACTACATTACAAGCATACACTGTATTGCCTTTGATTACAGAAAGAACTGTCAGTAACTAATTAACCTTTTGGGCAGCATTTAGATGGAGAGATGTCAAATGAATGGATGAGCTTTAAATTTGCAAATCCATGGGAGAGATAGTAATCATTCCAATGATTAAAATCAAATCTGTTCATTTCCAGTCCATGAATCCAAATACAACCTTAAGACTGTTTGGATCTTGGGTTTGTTGAGGGAAAAGAAAAAGTAGGACAATTATATCACTTTTCCCTATTCATCTTTTATTTTTCTATAGGAACCAAACAAAAAATAGATCTTGAAGACGTCTATTCATTTTCCCAATCCAACCAAACAAAAGCAAGTAAATTAGGCTGTGTTTGGTTATGTTAAATATAATTCCACCATTTCATGTTTGGATGGAGTTTTCAAAATGTGATTCCACCACACATTTCAAAATGTAATTCTCCTTCACGTTTGGCTACTCTCTCTCTCTTTTGTGTTCTCCATTCTGAAAAATCGAGAATTTTTGAATTTTGGACCTACCTGGTCATCCTCCCGCACGCTCGGCCAATTGACCGGGACAGTGTATTTTTTTTTTCTTTTTTGGCAACTGTCAAACGTCAATTGCCACTTGTTATTTGGAGGAAAAAAAATTATATTTGTTTTTGATATTTTTTAAATATAAAAATTATTTTTTTTAAACCAAAATGACAATTTCTTTTTTATTTTTTATATTTGAATGTTAGCATCAAGAGTGAGGATTCTAAGATATTTGTGAAAGATGAAGAGATTAAGGAAAGATGGAAGAACTATTTTGAGAAATTATTAAATGAGGAACATGAAAGTACAGCTATAGGGAAATAAATAGCCAATAATACGATAAACAAAGATTAAAGGTTCTATCGCAGGGTTAGGAACTTTGAAGTGGAGATTACACTTACAAAGATGAAATCAAATAAGGTTTTAGGACCCGATGATATCCCTATTGAAACTTGAAAATGTTTGGGTAAAAAGGGAATTGCTTGGTTGACTAGGTTATTTAGTAAAATTTTGTTGACTAGGAACATGCCAGATGAGTGGAGAAAGAGTATTTCAGTGCCAATATATAAGAATAAAAGAGATGTCCAGAATTGCAACAATTATAGAGGAATCAAGCTAATATGTCATATAATGATAGTGTGGGAGAGGGTGATGAAACGCCAATTGCGAGATATAACAGAGGTGTTAGAGAATCAATTTGAGTTTATGCCTGACAGGTCAACAATGGAAACGATTTATCATTTAAGGAGAGTAATAGAAAAGTATAGAGAAAAGAAAAAAAAACATTCATATGGTGTTTAACGACCTTGAGAAAACATATGATAAAGTGTCCCAGAATATAATATGGTGGGTGTTAGAGAAAAAAAGGGTAACAAAAGGTTACATTGATGTGATTAGGGACATATATGAAAGGGTTGTGACCACTATTATCTATTAAATTACCTGCTGGAGAGAAATGAATTTCCTATAACTATAGGGTTACACCAAGAATTTACCTTAAGTCCTTACCTTTTTGCTTTAGTTATGGATGAGTTGACGAGAAATATTTAGGATGACGTGTTATGGTGTATACTTTTTGCAAACGATATTGTGCTAGTAGATGAGACTAGAGAAGGAGTTAACACAAAGTTGGAGACTTGGAGAAAAGCTCTTGAATCTAGAAGATTCCGGATAAGCAGAACTAAAACAGAGTACATGGAGTGTAAATTTAATAACAGTAACAATGAGAGCAGAGGAGAAGTGAAAATTGAGAACTAAGAACTGCCTAAGAGTGAATATTTTCGTTATTTAGGATCGATTATCACAACAGTGGGGAAGATTGATGCGAATGTGGCCCATAGGATTAAGGCGGGATGGTATAAGTGAAAAAGTGCGTCTGGAGTACTGTGTGATAAACGAATACCCACTAAACTAAAAAGTAAGTTCTATAGAACGACTATTAGACCATCGATATTGTATGAGACGAAGTGTTGGGCAAGCAAGAAACATCATGTAGATAAGATGAGTGTGACTGAGATAAAGATGCTAAGATGGATGTGTGGCAAGACTAGACAAGACAGGACAGAATTAGAAATTAGTGTATTCGGGAAATGGATAGGAATAACGCCGATAGAAGATAAGTTCAGAAAGAATCGATTGAGATGGTTTGGTCACATTTAACGGAAACCAACAGAGGCAATAGTGAAGAGATGCAATGATGTAATAGCAGATGGGGGTGTTAGGAGACGGCGTAGGCGTAGATTAACGTTGGCTAACATTGTAAATAGAGATATGTATCCACTTAATTTCACTAACGAAATGGCCCGCGTGAAGAAGAAGGATTCATGTAGCCGACCCACATTTGATGGGACTTAAGGCTTATTGGGTTTGGTTTGGTTTGGTTTGGTTTGGTTTGGTTTGAATGTTAAAAGAGTTTGGTTATGAGTTTTGAATATAATTTTCAATAGAATTTTGAGTTATGTGCTTGGTTATGAGTTATAACTTTTTGAATTAAGTTTTGAAAACTCTTTTCAAAACTCATAACCAAGCAAATTTTCTTATTTTACATGTCACATCAAACATTTAAAACTCAATTCAACACTCAACTCAAAACTCTTTTCAAAACTCATAACCAAACAAATTTTCTATACTCAAATCATAATTCCAAAACTTACAAACTCAAAATACAACTCTATTCTCAAATCATATTTCTAAAACTCTACCAAACGCTACCTTAGATTCTCCCGTTTTATTTTGTTGTTCATTTCTTTTCTCTTCCTTTGAAAAATACAAGAACCAAACAGATAATAAGAGATTATGAAATGAAATCATAATTCTAACCACACCGATATCCCATAAGCTTTTCCCCTTACAACCAACACCAAGCTGCTGTTCAGAAATTTAGCATTAACTGTAAAAGTTCCAGTATGCTATTCCATTCATCCAGTTCCAAATTTTCCATAGATTACAACCAACACCTTTATTCCACAATTCCTAAACTAACATAATTAAACATAATTCCAAAATAGCAGGAGATCCATAAGTTGATTAAAAGAAAAGATCATGACAGAGTGTTAAAATGAAGCACCTGAACAAGGCTGTAAAGCAACTGCCAAATGAAGGTCTCTGCAAGGTTCCCAAAAAAAAAAATAGAGAGAGAACAAGAAAATGTCAGAAAATATCACATGTTTAACCAGTTGGCCAAATTCATGCACCTTACTAGGAGGTAAGACACCCCCCTCACCAGGGTATGGTCTTCAATGTATCCAAAGAAAGGGGGGGAAAATAACGAAGAAAATACATGTTTAACTACTGTTGAGAAGGCATATTAAAACCAGTAATAGAATGATAGCTAGATAATCTTACCTCAAACAGCACACGTGTCTCCCTTAAAAATAATATGCTGGCTATTGCTGCAGGATCAACAGTACAATCAATCAAATCAAATCACAAACATAACTGAAAGTGAACTCTACTAACAGAGAAAATTAAGTAACAAATACAACTCCACAAAAGTAAGCTGAAGCCTGAATTCCAACTTCATCCCCCTGTTGAACATTAAAAGACAGTGGTCAATCCTGACATTTTAGAAGAGGGGGGTGGGATATTAAACACATCCTTGATGTTAATACCAGGCAGTTGTCTAACTGCATTCATAAATTAATATTCTTTCACCAACCTAAATCTTTAGATCTTTCAAACAGCCATTAAAAAATGTTAACAACACGTCCAGTTTACAGCTAGATCTGGGAATGAAATGAATACATTTTGATGGGAAGTTGTATTACCAAAAAAAATTACCTAAAATCATCATTTATGCTTACTTCTAACAGAATTTATTTGAACGGTAAAAAATACACATCATTCTCTGATTCTCTACGTTTCACTTATAAGCCTTTATGGGTGGTGGCCTTCTCCTGTACTTCTCAGTTGAAAGGTGTTCTTATGGCCCATTCCACCATTGTGGGTGTCACTTAGCAAATGGAAAAGTAGACAATAGGAGCAAGGCCATTCCACCATTGTGGATGTCACGCAGGAACAGTCCTCAAACAACCTCCAAAAATCCTCTCTCACAAACATAGCTCAAAAAAAAAAAGTATCCATAGTACTAAGGCATGTGCAGCAATATGGATAGTTTAGGGTTTCTAAGTTTCTGACATAGTAGAAGATACACCATATCATGTATTTACGCATTGAAGGAATAAGATGTGCATTGTTTACAAAGAAACACATAATAGTGGAACAAAAATGCAAATAATATACAAATTTGACATAATGTGGATTTTGTCATTTGTTCCCTTTTAAGTTTATTTTATCCAAAGGATTTCAAGGGCAGAAATAATGGAGTCAAGATAAGCTTTGGGCATCAAACTTGAACCCAATGAAGAGAAAACTGCATGATGTGTCAGAGGATTAATGCTGCAAATGAGCCAAGCCGAGCCAAGCACTAAGGTGTTTGAGCTTGGCTAAGTCAGTTTAATGTATGTTCGGCCTCAGATTGTGTTCACGATGAGCACAGCAATGCATATTCAGGCTTGGTTTGTGACACTTTCATAAGCTCACAAGCCTAGCTCAACTCGTATTGGTAATACTTATGATGACCTATGCAATGGCTGGAGTAATACAATGCAAGGAATCATACTGTGATTAAGTTGCAAGAAGGCCAATTTTTTTTTTTTTTTTATTATCATTGGAGTGTCCGGATCAAAACCCGACCAATCCCCAGCGGCGCACAAGCCCTCGGCAAGGAGTTTTTCGCAAGTGCACCACAGTTAATTCAAAGATTTTCCACCAATCTGATGGCCCCAAGGAATTGTTAGCACTTAAGAGATTTCGATCCCTAAACCTTGGAAGGAGCAAACTCCCAAGATCCAAGGCCTTGCCACCAGGCCAACCCCTTGGGGTTTGCAAGGCCTCGTTTGGGAACAGGCTAATTTAGTAACTTTTTGGCTATTTGGCTAAAAAGGTAGGTAAAAAAACTTGTATGTTTGGGATGACTTTTTGGCTAATTATGAAAAGATGTGCAAAAAGTAGAGAGAAAAGAGAATCTTTGACTTTTTGGTATGGGTTGTTGGCTTTTTGGCTAATTTAGTAACTTTTTGACTAATTGGCTAAAATAGCCTCTTGCCAAACGAGGCCTAAACTCTGGTTAGTCGGCAAAGGTTATCTTTTGGCGACTAAACTCCCCAATTAACACAAACATCACAATGCAATGCATCCTAGGTATGGAGGCTAAGTATGCAAAATGAGCATGCAAGACATGTGACAACTATGCTAGTGGCAAACATGCAACAACATGAAAGGAGATAGTTTTTTGTTCTTGACGCTCGAGCGTTATGTTTTCTGCTCGAGCGGGAATGTTGTATAACAGAGGGCAGCTGGGCACTTTTGAATCATTTTCTACACTTCCACTCTCTCTCTTACTTTTCCAAAA